AGCCCCAGTGGGCCAGGGTGAAACAGAGAAATTAGGAATTAGGAATCATTTATAAAAATTGCCTTGAGTAAAAGAAAGGGCTACAAAACCCGTGTGAAATGCTGACTGCTCCCCTAAGAGCAGGAAGAGAATAAAGACTGCAGGATGAGATAAAGAGCTAGAATACATAAACAGGATGCAAGCATAAATGCACCACAGGATGAGGGGGGTTCCTTGGATTCTTTTGGACCCCTAAGCCACAAGTTCAGCTGCAGGAAAATTGCTGACTTCAGACCCAAAGGCCTCCAGACGACCACCAGAGTGACCAACAAGGAGCAGTGTGCAGCTGCAAATAGGCGTGGAACTAATTTTAGTATGAAGCGGGAAAAGGCAGGGTTAGCAAATGAATATGTATTAGGTGTACTGTGTAACCCTGGTTTGTAGAGAATAAAAAGGGAGAAACAAGTCTCCAAGGTGTGCATGCTTTTGGAGGAGATATCCCCCATGCACCTCAGCACTGAATAAATTCATACCTACTCTCATAACTACTCTGTGAGTTACAGAGGTTTTCTATCCGCATACCAAGGTCTCCATTGGCACCTGGCTCGGGGCCACGGGAGCCTGGAGAAGAACGTGTGCGGCCCAGGGAAGGGAGCGGTGTGTGCGGCGCAGGCTGGCGCCCCTGGGTGCGGCACTGGGCAGGGGCACGATGCTGCTCTGAGTGCTGGGGCCCAGCCAGCACTGAAATCAGCAGGTGTGGCAGAGTCCCCACCAAGGCAGACCTGCCACCCCCCGAGCCCTGGCAGTGCTGGTGCCCATCTCCTGCCCCAGACACCTGTGCCCCTGAGGGGCTTCTGTGCCAGAGGGCAGCCAAAGCCCATGTGCATTGGGGGCTGGGCTCCTTCCTGCAGGAAGCTCCTGGAGCTACTGCTGGCCACTTGCTATCTGTCAGATGATGTTGCTCCTTCCTGGAATGAGGTTTTCCATGGAAGGGGTTTGCAGTAGCACAAAAACACCATCAGCTGCTGAGTTTCCTAGGATGGTTTGATTGTACGGAGGCACTGTCACATTTCAGTCTGATCTTCGGTCTGTTTTTCTGGGAGAAACATTAGCCCACTCTCTGATGTTCAAGGCTTCAGTTGCTGCCTGTCTGTCTGTGTGCAGCTGGTACAAGGCAGACATTTTCCCCAGACACAAAAAGTCCTGCCTGGACAATCACAGAGCTACATCTATTTTTAATTTTAACTTTTTAAAATTTTTCCAGAGCCTGCTGGCTGTGTTCAAGGTTTTCTCCCAGTTTTCTCCCAGGTGCACATTCTCCAGAAATTGTGCTTTTACATCCTTTTGCATTTATTAAATTTACCTGCAATGACCAGTCAATCAAAACCCTGGGAAAACATGAACTTCAGGTTGAACCCAGGCAAAATATTTATCTCCCACATCTGAAGCCATGAACTGCCAAGTACTGTCCCTGCTGTCACACCCTGTCTCCTGTAAGTGTGCTGATGCCATTTCAAAGGGGTTGCAAATGAGAAGTTTTAATATTTTTGTAGTTTCCGCATTGGCATTAAAATCCTTGACTAGAAAAATCACATGTCAAAATTTCTAGGATTCTTCCATACCAAAGCTGTCATTTTCACCCTGGATTTTAGAGTGTCTGAACAGTCACACAAGGTTTTAGTATTAGACATTAAAGAAAAAATCTTTGCTGTTTGGCTATATCTTTACATCAGCATGTAGTCCTGATGATTCCTTTAGGCAGGAGCAGCGAACACAAGAATGAGCCAAACAAGCTATTCCTGTGTTCTCATGTCCTGCACAGCAGTAACTGGGAATTCAAGAATGGATTCAGGAGGCAATGGGTGCACAGGGAACCACAAAGACTTGGGGATGCTGAAATGGACCAGCCTGGTGCCTGTGCCCAGGCTGCACCGGGCTGAGTCCAACTGGACGATCTAACAATGGTTGAATGGACACACCATGGGCCACTGGAGACTCCTGCTCCTAATTCTGTGAGCTACAATATTCATTTGTGATTCACCAGATGATTTTTTCATCTTTGCTTGAAATCCAGGAGAAGAAAAGGTCAACATGGAGAAATGTTCTTCCAGTTCTAGTGACAGTTGTGTCTGCACACCACCTGTGCCCATGGCAGGGTGGTTGGAACTGGATGATGTTTATGATTCTTTGCAACACAAAGTGCTCTGGAATTCTGTGGTTCCCCAAGTGGAGAGCAAAACTGAGCTGTGTAAGTCCCTGCTTTTTTTCAGTGCCTGCTGCTTCTTCCTTTGTTCTAAGCAAGTCCAGGGTTTAGTTTCAGAGCTGACGCCTCTGTCATTAAGATGCCTTCACAGAAGAGAGGGAGGACAGGTGTAGCACAAGGCTCGAACCCCATCAGTGTCTCTCTCTCACGATGGCACCAATGCCGCTGCCTTGGGACACCTGAGTGTGGAAGGGGAGCCCACCCTCAAGCACGGCCATCCAAGTCAGTCACGGGCACAGGCTGCAGCTGAAGCTGCCAAGTGTTGCTGTGAGGCTGCAAGTGAAGAGAAAGCCATTGTGGCCAATTCTGCTGAAGGCTTTTGCCAAGCCAAAGGCAGCTGTGCCCACAGCCTCCCCGTTTGGCACCCGGCTGCTGCGGACACCTCACTGTGCAGGTGCCGACGTTCGGGGTGCTGCTGTTCCTGTGCCCACTCTGCTGCTGTTTCTGTGGGCTCCAGAGCCTCTTCAGCAGCAGCGACTCTGCAGCCCTGCTCGAGGAGACATCGCCACCCTCCCCATGGTGGCAGCAGCTCTGTGGGCCCCGAGCTCTGTGTCAGGGGGGCCTCGGTCACAGCACCGTGGCCTGGGCAGCCGTGAGGGCCTGGGCTGGTGGCCAGCCCTGCCTCTGCCCACTGCCCCTTCCTGGAGGCACCCAGTGGCCGTGGCCTGGCAGCACCCCCCTGCCTTCCATGTCCCCAGCCAGCCCAGCCTGGGCACCTTGGGCTTTCCCCACCCTCCTGGAGGGCTGGTGTCCCAGCCTCGAGGGCTTCTGCTGCAGGCCTGGGAGACATTTTGTGGAAGCACCGGAGCAGCCGGGTGTCAGGAACAAGGCGGCTGCCCGGGGGCTGCTTATGGCCTCTGACACCCAATTCCTCAGGTCTTCCCACCACCCCGGCCCCTCAGGGGCCTCCTGTCCCCTTGGAGCCTCCAGCCTCCACACATCCCCCTCACGCCTTCCCACGTATTTGTCCTGTCTGGGCCTCCACAGCCCCTCATCCATTTACAGCCTCCCAGTGCCCTGTTCCCTCAGCGTCTCCCCCAGCCTGGCCCAGCAGCAGCGCTGCAGCCCCACAGGAGCTCCAGAGGAGCTGGATCAAGAGGCACCTGGGAGCCCTCAGCAACCCAGCCAGCACCACACGGGCAGCAGGACACAGATGGCGCTTCCTGGATGGGACAGGGCTTGTGCCTTCAGCAGAACCACCAAAAGCCAAGGGGCTTCTGGCCATTTTCCCTGCACCACGGCATGCCCTGACAGGTTGCTGAGCACAAGCACCCTTTTCCATCTCTTCCCGTATGCCCTGCACACCCTGGGCAACAAAAGAAAGATCTTAGGACTCTGTGTATTATAACATATCCTGTATTTACTGTATGTATATTCCCTATGTAGGGAAATACTTTAATAGAGTAAAAGCATGATATTTTAGTAAAAGCCTGTCTGCACAACCCAGCTTTTAATTCAGGTGACAATATTAAAGGCAGTGTCGTTGAAATTCTCCTGGCACAGCGAGAATAAAGAAAAACAATGGCATGGTGTACATGCAAAAGAATGTAAACAATACGTGTTAACCAATAGTAGCTTGTTAAGCCCCGCGAACCCTGTCAGACCCTACAAAAGTGTGCTAAAGATAGAAATAAACAACGTTCACTACACCGCTATGAGGACTCAGTGAATAGTCTGAACAGTTTTCCATTGGCCTATTGGACCAAAATGTTATATATTTCTGTGCAGAGAAGAAACTCTGACTTCCACAAGCTATGGCTGACTTGTTGCTCCTCTATTAATCTCATGCCTTGAGACTGATATCTTATCGAACTACTTGAGCAATAAATCATCTCAAAGCATAGTGGTCCCATCCCTCATTTTTCATCTTGACACCAAACGCACACTGGAGATGTCTGGGGCCATTCATCATTTCTCTGCTATCAAGCACTGAGGCAATGCACTCTGGCTACAGCTCTGAGCTCATGCCCATGGCAACCACTCCTGGCAGTGGGGCTCCATGGAGCTGCTCTCAGGAACCCCCTAAGACTTGGGGAGTGCCCCAAAACCACCTCAGAAACATAAGATACCCCAAAATCTCTGCAGGAACGTGGAATATCCAAAAACTCACTCAGTAATGGGCTCCCCCTTTGTTCATTATCCCCAAACTTTGACTGTCTCATTGCAGACCCCACCCCACCTCTCCAGTCCCAATCCCAACCCATCCCATCCCTGCTGGACATCAAGACCCCCTTCCCAAGCCCTATTTCCCCCATTTCACACCTCCCAAACTCCATCACATCCATCCTGCCCCACCCAATGCCCATCTCACCCCTCCTGATTTGCATCCCACTTGGCCCAATCCCCTTCCAACCCCATTCCACCTGATGCCTTCAGAAGGCTGACCTAGAACAGAGGCTAGACAGAGTTAAGAATAAAGTTTATTAAAGGCCTTAAAGGATATGCTTTGGGCAGTACAAGAGCCTGGCCAAAAGTACACCAAAGATGGACCAAAAATGGTCACAAAAATGGACAACTGATCACAAGGTCTCACATTTTTAGAAGTTGAGGTCCATCACCATACTTGGGTTCAATTACAGCTTCAGATGACGAAGCCCTGTCCTTCTTGTTTTCTCTCTTCAGTCCACCCTTGTTTATGCTTTTGGGCCTGAAACTTGTAACAAGTGCCCTTAGTATCAAGCTAGAAAATGAATTGTTTTGTCTACCTCCTCTGTGAAGAGAGCTCACCAACACTTAATATGAAGTTCAAAACTACAAACCTAGGCAGCGCAGAATATGAAAAATATGAAAGCTAAAGCTTAAGGCATTACACCCTGAGAACCTGTGGAATCCAGTAATTGTGGGTGAGAATAAGTACTTTTCGGTGGCATTGAGTGGTTTTGAGGTGACAGATCAAACCCTCTCATCTCCTTGAGTGCTAAAAGATGGAGACAAATACACCAAATAACCCCCAAAACCCTCCCATGTACCTCCCTCAATCCCAGATTCCCTTGAAGCACTAGTAAAAAGTGAGATTTTAGATGCCTTTGATGAATCTGTTGGTTGTTACTCCAATTTTGTAAATTTTAAAGGGATGAAGATGAATCAAAAGAATATTAGAGCCAAAAAAAATCACCACCAGCTCACTGTCTTCCCAATGCAGGTCACGGGAAACGTGGGTCATCAGGGCTCTGCCCAGCGTGGGGCCTCTGATGGGGGATGGAGCTGGAGCAGCACATGAAGCTCTTCCTGCACTTGGGGCACTCGCAGGGCTTCCCTTAGTGGTGCCTCTGTTGGTGTCTGGTCAAGTGAGAGCTCCTGGAGAAGCTCTTCCCACACTGGGGACACTCATAGGGCCTCTCCCCAGTGTGGATGCGCCGGTGCCTGAAGAGGTGGGAGCTCATCTTGAAGCCCTTCCCGCACTCAGGGCAGCGGAAGGGCCTCTCATCCGTGTGAATCCGCTGGTGCTGGAGGAGACTGGAGCTGGTCTGAAACCTCTTCCCACACTCGGGACACTCGTAGGGCCTCTCCCCAGTGTGGATCATCTGGTGGATGATCAGTTGGGACCTACACCTGAAGGTCATCCCACATTCCCCACACTCATAGGGCCGTTCCCCAGTGTGGATGCGTTTGTGGGTAATGAGGCTGGAGCTCTGGCGGAAGCTCTTCCCACATTCCCCACACTCAAAGGGCCTCTCCCCAGTGTGGATGCGCCGGTGGTTGATGAGGTTGGAGTTGTACTTGAAGCCCTCCCCACAGTCAGGGCAGCGGAAGGGCCTCTCCTCTGTGTGAATCCGCTGGTGCACGAGGAGATCTGAGCTCCTCCGAAAACTCTTTCCACACTCGGGACACTCGTAGGGCCTCTCCCCAGTGTGGATGTGCTGATGGATGACGAGTTGGGAGTTGCAGCTGAAGCCCTTCCCACATTTCCCACACTTGTAGGGCCATTCCCCAGTGTGAATCATCTGATGGCAGATCAGGCTGTTGCTGTGGCTGAAGCTCTTCCCACACTCCAAGCACTTGTAGCGCTTCTCCCCATCCTGAAGCTGCTCATGGACCACCAGCTCAGAGCCCTGGCTTGATCTCTGGTCACCTTCCCTGCACAGGGTGGGTCTTTCCTCCTCAGAGCACCCTGGGATGGGTTTGGAGCCCCTCCTGTGGGATCTCTGGGGCTTTTCCTCCCCATTGGATTCCTGCGCTGTGGAGCTGCTCAAAACGGCCTCTTCCAGGAGGTCCTGCCCCAGGAATTTGTCCTCCCTGGTCTCCATCCTCAGCTCCTTGTCTGGGGGAGGAAGTTCAAGGAGAGGATGGGATTTGCCTCTGTGCCAGAGGGAAGGGGAAGGAGATCCCCCCAGTGCATACCCGGCAGGACGGTGTCGGCAGCGGGGTTGTCCTGCAGCTGGGGGCCATGCTGGGCTGGGAGATGGAGCAGGAGAGAGAGGGAAAGGGGCACTGACTTCCTCCTCACCTGCCTGGGTATCCTGGGGCATCTTCTTCTTCCTCACAGCCTCCTTCTCCATCCGGACAAGGTTTAGGATTGGGAAATCCTGGTATGGGTAAAACAGGGGAAGAGTACATTGACTTTGAATGTCTCTCGCTCCAAGACCATCTCTAGAAGTCACCGGTCATCTGGGGCCCATAAAAACCTCCCAGACACCAAAATTCAGCCCTGAAATTGCCTCCCAGGAGTTCCCCATCTCTGGTCTCTCCCCTTTGGTGTTCAGGGGTTCCTCCCTGTCTCAGCTGCTGGGGGTTACGCTTGCACTCAGGTTCCCCTGTCTGCTCAGTCCCTGCCCTTTTCAGGCTACTGGGAGTGCCAGGAATCCAAAAAGTTCCCCCTGTTTCCATCTCCTCATTTAGGGATGATGGGGCTTTTTGGATTCCCATGGTCCCTTGTCCCCTGATTCTCTGCTTTGGAGTGCAGGGGGTCCAAGGATTCCCCCCTGCTCCTCTCCAGGCTATTGAGGGTCCCGTGAATTTGTGGTTCCTTCTTCTTTCTATGATCTTCCTTTGTCCCTCCTCTTCCATCCCTCCCCGTCCTCCCCCAGGAGCAGTGACAACCTCAGTGACCCATTCCCAGACCCCTCACAGCCCACGGCAGGAGCGGGGATGGAGCTGGGACAGGTCGGGATGGGCAGCGTGGGGCTCTCCGCTGCTCCCATGCACTGGGGACGGGGGGAACCTGGCCCGGGGAAAAGGAGAGGGAAACTGGGAAAATTGGGGGCTGCAGATCCCCCAAAACTGGGGCTGGCTGGGGACCCTGGCTGGGGACTGCCAACCCTTGGGGCTCCTCTGGGAAGATGCGGGAGGGGGGAACACAGAGAGGGCTGGGGGATCCCAGGAGTGGCAGCACTGGCAGGGACTGGTTTGTACTGGGATCGTCCTGGCAGTGGCTGAGATTGCACTGGCTGTGTACTGACATCATACTGGGATGATACTGGGAGCAGCTGGGACCATGCCAGGAGAGACTGCGATCACACTGAGGGAGACAGATCATACTGGGATCATACTGGGATGATACTGGCAGTGAGTAGGAGGCTGCAGAGGGCAATTGAGACCAGGTTGGGGGCAAATTTGATATACTGGGAGTGAATGGGATCGTGCTGAGGCTGACTGGGAGAGTTGAGAGCAAATGGGATCATGCTGGAAGGAACTGGGAACATGCCCTGCACTCCCCAGAACCCCAGTATCGCCCCCCATATGTCCCATAGGTGTGCCCCAAACCCTCCAAGATCCCCGAGTGCCCCCTCAGCGCCCGTTCAGGACCCCCCCAAAGCGTCTCCGGATCCCTGAATGCTCCCGACCCCACAGATGCCCCTTCCAGACACGGCTGGGAATTCATCTCCCATCATCCCAGAACACGGTTCCACGCCCAAACCTCCTGCCGTGCCCCGCGCCGGAAAGAGCCCGGTTACAGCTCCCCAGGTTCCCCCCAAGTGCTCACGAGCCGTATACATTCGCCCGAGGACCTGCAGCCACGGCTCGGACGCAGAAGTGCTCTCCAAGTGCTTCCCCACACCGCCAAACGCGCCTTTCGAGCCACTTCCGGGACTACAGCTCCCGTCATGCTCCGCGGCGCCCATAGAGCGCTATTTCTGCCATGACTCCATCTCCCGTCATGCCCCGCGACCCCCCGGAATCCACTGGAGATGCGCATATAACTCCCGTGATGCTCCGCGGCCCCATCAAACCGTATTATACCGGCGCCTACAACTCCCATCATCCCCCGCGCCCCATAGATTCCCTGTTACAGCCCCCCAGGTACTCGCCCGGACCCCGAAGTGTCCCCAGATTCCCCTCCCTGACTTCCAAGCGCCCCCCTGGACCCCCAAGTGCTCCCCCAGACCCCGAATTGTCCCACAGAATCCCTAAGTGCCCACCTGGCTGCCCCAAGTGTCCTCCAGACCTCCAAGTTCTCTCTAAATTCCCTCGTCAGACATAAAACTGCCCCAAATGTTCCCCAGAAAAGTTTCCATGGACCCCAAAGTGGTCCCTTTTACCCTGTCTGAGAAAATGATTAAAAAATATGATCAAAGCACTAAAAGTAGGACAAATTAGCATACAGAGGGAGAAATAGTGGTCAATTAATTAATGAAGGGAATTGTGGTACTTTGAACCAAGGACCGATAATGGTTTTTGTTCCTAAAATTGTATCAATTCTTTTATAGAAATATAAAAATTAGGTTCTAAAAATACAGAACAATATTATTATAAAAAAATAAAATTTTATTTTTTTAATTAATTAGATTTTAATGATAAAGAAAAATTATAAAGAGTAATGTTATCAATGTTTTGGGATGTCAGTCCCAGGTGGGCCATGTCAGACATGCTGAGGCTCGGGGTGAGGAGCAGGTTGTCCAAACAGGGGCAGCCTGCAAGGGATTCATTCTTCTCTGTGGCCAGACAGCCTAAGGAGACATTCAGCATCAGGATTGTAAAGAGTAAATCCTGACCTCCTGATCAGTACACAAAGATGTTTTACAGTTTGAACAGTAGAATGTTGTCACCATAAGGTGCCTTCTTTGTTAATATAGCTCATATTGTGTCATGTTTTTTAAATACCAATGTTGTTGTACCAACCTTCTTTGTTAAAATATTGTTATAAATGAAATTAGAATTTTGACAACTAGGTCCCTTGGCTTAATGGCAGTTTAATTAAAAATGAATACAATTTACTAAACTGAATAGTAGTGTGGTATAAAAGAATATAGTTTAGTAAAATAATACAGTTTAATAAAAAATTAAAATTTATATATATAATCTACTAGTAATTAAGTATGATTAAAGCATAAGCAAAACCCACCAGGGTACGGAGGCTTCCCACCCTGCCTCACCTTCAAAACAAAGCACTTTAAGCTAAACTCATATACTGTATGCTTATACATATTCATTAATGTTTCCTGTAAGTTTCCTCCTGTTTCGGAGTTTTCTGACTTAACATTATTTTTCTTCATGGCACATGCCTCACTTGTTGCAATGGGGTCTTCCGTCTTCTTTTAGTGGTCTTTTGGCAAAGGCTTCTCTTCTTCCTCATTGTCCTTTGGATAACCTTACAGGCTTGTGTGTGTGTACTAAACCTTGTGTTATGTTAGTCTACTAATTAGCCTTATGTTTACTAATCCTTACGTCCAATGCCGAAATTTGTTCTAATTTTGATCCATCTCAAGGCCATTTTGGTCTTGAGACACCATTTATCTTTTAAACTACATCCTGTACCTTAATTTTGACATGTAACATCTACAAAGGGGTACATCTGCTTTGTAACACTGATTCTTGATTGTTTCTAATAATAACTTTAATAACAGTTACAATTTAGTTAGCACAAACCAATTCCATTTATTACAACTGCAAATACGCCTTATGCACCTTTTTATTGGTTTCCATGCTAACGGCCTTGCTTTCTTCCTTGCTATGGATAAACTTGTATTTTCTCAATTTCTTCTTTTGCTGCCTCAATTGTTTGGCCTGCAGACCAGTTGCTAAGCCCATCCACATTCAGCTCTTAGTCTTCAGAGGGAAACTGTGAGCACAGTGAGAATCTCCCAGTGTGCAAGAGGGTCCCTGTGTGCCAGCTGCAGCTGGGGCCTCAGCCATCTCCTCTCTCAACAGGTTCCCCTCTGCAGCTTCACAGGAAAGGCCAACACCTCCCTCAGGGACACCTGCACCACACATTTCACATCTCCATGCCCATACGTGATGTCCCTGTCACAGCTGCATTACCAGCTTGCTGCTGTGCAGATGCTGCCACCACCCAAAGCAAGGCCCTGTGTCCCTGAAGGGACCCGCCCTGCTCTGTGGCCTGGACTGAAGGTGGGTCCCTCCTGCCAGGGCAGGGCCTGACACAGCTCTTCTGTTCCAATAAAGAGATGGAGCTGTCACCCCAGTGTCTGGCTGGTACCACCAGCAAAGCCCACACAGCACCAGCCCCGGCTGAGCTCCATGTCCAGGAGCAGGCGGGGCTGACCACGGTGTGGGCAGGCAGGAGCCAGGCAGGGGCTGCTGTGACCAGCAGCGGGGCACTGAGGGGCTGGGGGAGTCTGTGTTGAGTGTCCCTGGGCTGAGGGCACATTTCCTTCAGTGGCATCACCTGGGCCTGGACCTCCTCCAGTGCCATGCCCAGGAAAAGAGGCAACCATCAAGAGCATCTCATGGGACAGAACATGACCAGCAATGTCAGCAGGCAAAACCAAGGTTTTGTTTAGCAATGACCCTTTGATGAAGTCAAAGATTTACAATCAGTCCAGTACAGATTGGAGTACAGATGGGAGTACACTCGGGGGGTACAGCCAAGGCCATGAGGTCACAGCAGTCTCTGGGGTGACAGCAGGCTGAGGTGACAGCAGGCTCTGAGGTCACAGAGGTCCCAGAGCCCCGTGGTTGCACAGCACCACAAGGACCAAGCCGACAGTCCTTGACCATGACTGTTGTGGCAGCAGCGGTGGCGGCAGCAGCGGTGCTGACATTGGGACAGCGGTGTCAGGACAGTGGTGGCAGCAAGAGCTGCAGGACTGGCAGTGGGCAAGGCACCATGGCCTTT